TGTGGTTCACAAAAATCATGCACATTTTGGTATTTTCAAAGTTACACAGTAAGACCAAGTATGTTGCGCTGACAAAAGAATCATCCAAAACTGTTAAACGACGGAAATACTCAACAGATAACAACGAAAAATTAAATCAACATTTTGTCCAGCTGATTTTTTTAATTTTTACTAATGAAGACTTGTCTGCCTTACGAACACCTCACAGACAGTATTACCTTCTGTTTTAGTCTATGTTGCTCTATTTAGACAATCTATTTACGAAATGATCGTTTTCATCTTCCTTGTTTATGCAATTACGGAGAAAAAAAGAACTGGATCACAAACATAATCGAATTGCCTTTGTTAAACGCCTATCCGTGGCTATAAAAACTGAAGTACGAAAAGTAAGCAGTCTAGGTTCCGACCGTTTTAGGCAACCACAGCTACCGTGATCTGTGCAGATTTTTAATACAACTCTCTGGAATACATTCCCGCCGATCACTCAGCACGGCAGTTGTAGACAGACTCAACTCTGTGTTCAACTCCTCATCGCCTAATACGCTGCCTACCAGACAGCTTTCACTACCACAGAGCGTCTCGTTTTAGTTGATCCCGCAAGTTTTTGGAAGAAGCTCATACAACTGAAGCCAAACAAGGCTAGTGCCCGGATGCTCAGTAATTTCTTTGATTAAAATCCTGAATCGGTGCCTAACTACTGCTACCAACCCGACATTTGGAGATTACCCAGAATAACACCAGTGCCTAGAAAAGGGTTTTGAAAGTGTCGACCAAATTTGGACATGTCCGTGCTGTTAAGTGTACTGGAAAAACTACAGATTCCCCCCACGTTTTTATGGGCAATCATGCTGATGATGTTGAAGAGTTTGCCTATAAACCAGATCGGTCTACATTGGATACCTTTTCTTGTCTGGTGCATTCCATTATTTTCACCTTGGAGAAAGACTCTCAACCCTTCCAACTGTTGTGGCATTTTCTACGTCCACACACTGTGTTCCCTTGTACATATCTCCCTTCCCCTTGTTATCGGTGATCGAAACATACCTTGTTTCTCTACCGTAAGGTTTATCGTAGTTCTCTCGTCTCAGTTTATTTTAGGCTACACATTCTTGAGGCTTTTATAAAATCTCTCTCTTTTCACACCCTCACTCAAAATGCCTTCCGTCTTCTGTGCTTTAATTTTAAGGTTATTACATCTATTTTTCTCTACTGGTTATACTGTTCCACTCTTGTTTTCGATGAAGTTGTACTTCTTGCCCGTTCGGTAGAATTTCTTTCTCGCTGCTCTGGTTTACGGAAAGAACCGCCCGTTGATTTTGCTGTTAACAAACTTGTCGATGCATGCATCAACGTTTCACACAAGATTTTAAACGATCTCTTTCACTATTTTCATGCTATCCTTCCTAGCACCTCATCTATTATTCTACACGGTCGCAATTTAAAGTTTCATATTTTCGTACCTCGTCGTATCGCAGCCCCATCCTGCCTTACTAGTTGATCCATCAGGAATGAAACACCGCTCGCGTGGCCATGTGCTTTACTGAAGATGTGCCTTTTTCCTTTTATTGCTATCAATTTTTACTTTCTCATTGATGCTTTATTTTCTTATATCCGCTGTGTTCTTATGAAGTGCCTGGAATGTGCCCATATGGGTGTATAAAGCGTTACTTGACTTGGGTTTCTCCACTAGAATTCGCATGCCTAAATACCTTAAGACAATGCACTTATGCACTCGTGATTAACTTTGAACGCTAGTATATTCGGCGCTCGTGACGGCTACCCGCAGCTCCTAACGGGATGTTATTTAAACGCACCTAATGAGAAATGGGATCCTGATTTCAAAGGACTATCAAACCTCCATTTTAGCCTGATTAGAGATGTCAGGAATGGTCTTTCGATAAGTTGCCAGACAATACGTCCGTAATGGATAAGAAACATGGGAATAATGAACATCGATGAATTTCCGCTGTTGGCCCGTACATCCAGCTGCTCATTCTCGATGGCGTGTTTTACCTTAGGGGATCGATTTCCGGATTTCGAAACTGGTTTGCTTCATATGGCAGAAAGCAGATGAACGAACCCGCAGACCAACGAAGCTCACGAATCGTGGTGAATCATTCATATGCCCTGAAGGCTAAAACAAGCTGAGGCCAAGATCAAAGGCAGCTAACGCCTAGCGGTCAGGTTGCAACAAACCGGAAAGGCATCGATCAACAGACTCATCATCATCATCAGTACACGTTAGCTGGGGGTGAGAAACAACCTCAGCTAATGTGCCGCAGTACAAAAAGATAACAGACTAAAAATTACACTACAAAACTATGATGTTACATATTACATTATGCGTTTTGCCTGGGATCGGGATTGAAGGGGGAACCTAAAGGGAGGGTGAGGGGCAAAAATACTGACAACACAAACGCCATTGGGACCGGCTCTTCGCCATATCAGCAAGTGTGTCCAACCAAACGTGTTCATCGTCCTTAGGACCCCAGACAGGCAGTCGGAATGCACCAACCGACGCCACTTTCAAAGTAAGGGTTTTCATTTCTATCGACCAAGTCATCGCTTGGCCTCCCCTCCTCTCCCATCCACACGCGCTCAAACAGTGCACGTCGCGGGAGTCGGTGTGCTGGCATGCGCAACAAGTGGCCCGGTCTTCGGAGCCTAATCCGTGATATAATGGTGCTGGGCGGTTCACTCGTTCTTCCTGCACCAAATACGCGATGCCGAACACGTTCATTGCTAAGCTAAGCTAAGCTGCGAAGGCACCGATGATCGAACGTAGCTAACCTCTTTATGTCTGTCGACCTGATGGGCCAGGTTTCACAACCATGTAGGAGAGTTGAACGGACGGCTACGTTATAAACTCTGCCCGTCAGCACGAGAGTAATGTTGCATCTTCGCCACAGGTAGCGGAGACTGGCAAAGCACCTCAAGGTTTTGCTATGCGGTTCGTAATCTCAGCTTCGATCCCACGGGCTCTAATATAGCTGCTCAGGTACTTGCATTCCTGAACGACTTCAAGCTGATCCCCACCAAAGGTCAGCGCAGGGGTGAGTCCCTGCCAATCTTGGAGAAGTACTTTGCATTTCGTTGGAGCAAAGCATAGCCCAAAACGATAGACATCCAGTGTCAATCGGTCCAATACTGCTTGGCATGTTTGGGAGCTGTTACAGATTAGGGCAATATCGTCCGCCTACTCCAAGTCAAGAAGTCGCTCACCAGGAAATATCTCCACACCTTCTAGTTCGTGTCCAGCAAATGCTATTTCCATGACTTCATCAATAGCAAAGTTGAAGAGGGAAGGTGACAGCGGGCAACCTTGTCTCACACTGCTTGTGATACTGAAGGGTGACGACAGTTTGCGATAGACCCTCCGAACTATGTGCGTACAGCGCTTTGATAATGTTTACGTATTTATCAGACACACCTTTCCTCAGCAGACAGTCCCAAAGAGCACATCGATCGACGGAGTCGAAGACAGCTTTTATGTCAACAAACTAGCGTTGGTTTGTCATCAGTACCTAGGATTGGTCGACATACAACTAGGGCAATCAGTTTTCAGTGTAGTCTGGTTCTATCGACAAGTTCAGTCATCCACGTACTCACCCTGTTCTTCCTTATTGGTGATTGACCTGCTCTCGCAGAGTCCGACACATCAGGCATGGGACAGCAGAGTTTCGTTGGGACCTACGTGACGACCGTGACATAATAATTAGTTATTAACTACGATTTTGGCTCATATCGGCTGGCGCTTCTACAAACACAATCGCAGGGTCGTCTGGTGCTTTTGTTCCGCGGTCTATGGCAAGCACTAGTAGTCCAATGTAAAATAATATGGTTGTTTTGTTTCATGTCGATGGACTATCAACTGGAAAGGTAAATTCTTTCCCCCCCACTTCAGAGGAAGCCTGTCCACACTCTAAGCCTATTAGTAAATGCACATTTAGACCGTCTGTCTAGTTCCTCACTATCGAGTCATCGAATCTGATTCATCATGTAAGCACCTTGGAAGATCTAGCTCGCTAGGCGCAGTGAATCACAGCTGTACATATGTCGTCGCACCACACTACGGCTCGGACTCACGGCGACAGTTTTCAAATCATTTCATATGATTTACTTTCTAACTTGTATAATGCCGTAGATCGGATATACGGACACGACGTCAATATCATTACTAGTTAGGTGACGGCAATCCATGTGTTTACATAACAAATGGTAAACTGCAGTGGTCTCTCTCAAACTAGTACTCAGCAGGTACTTGAAATAGCCGAATTTTCCTTTGTGGTATGTAAACCGTCTAACACAATCTCTAGTTAAGCCAACCTCACGTGCATTAACAAACTGGTGATTAGTAGCTTCATGTTAAACATGAATTAAACCCCCTTCGTCAGGTGACAACACGTAAAAGATATAGATGGATTACCAATTGATAATACCGACTCCAGGGTTTATCCAACGAGCATTTATGGCAGGTAGACTGCAACGTAGCAAAAGCGAACAAGATTACTACGCATCTGATGAAGATAGGTCTTTGAACAGACAGTTGAATTAGCTACTCGGAATTGGCCCGTGCTTTTCGCAAATCAAGATTAAGACTTATCTGTTCATTTATTTACTGCCTAACTTTCTTCTTCAACCTCGCAACTCGCGGTGTCATTTGACCTGATAAGCGGACACTGCTCTGCCTTTGGAAACATTATCACTGCTGATTGCGGACTAGGTGCAACTGATTTTTCCTTACAGTAGGACTTTAACCGGATATAACCTTATAATCAACCCCCTGATTTATCTCTTGCTAGAGAGTACAATGCATTTCTATTTTTAACTGGTATCTCTTTTGCTTCTAACGCATAAAATGAACAATGCCCGTTTTTTGCTCTCGGAACAACAGGCCTTATTGCTCTAGCTTGTACCAATTGACCACTTAAATCTTGCTGTCTGTTTTGATACTTCAAATCAGATACTTGCATTCGCTGATATCCATCTCCATTTTTCAGATTCACAGGAACTGCTTCCCCGGATTATTGATGGATGCTCTTTTCCTACAAGAGAGGACACAAGAAGGTTCCGTTCTGATGTATCTGAAGCGCGTGTTGTTGGATAGTGGTATTGATACGAGGACTTGGTTCTGCACTTATTTAAAGCGGGATATGGTGAGCCCTTTTTAGTTGGTTTTCCATCTTATCAAAAACTGTGGCTTAATGAGCATTGACCGAGAGATGCGATTGATGCACCTTTTTCTTTGGTTGCATGCATTCAGACTCGCCCAGCTTCCTCGCCTTGCATTCGTTCTTTTTCTCTGTACTCCAAACCGCGTCGTATTCGCTCTCATCCAAACTAAGAGATCTTCATACTCGTATATATTAGATTGTCCTAAAATCAACTGACTATCCACGCCATTCCAGTATTCACTTGCAACTTATTGAAGATTCTTTTATATGAGTGTATAAGGGGACACACTAGAACCGTACTCTTACCTTGTTCATTTATCCAGTATTTTAGTAATGGCTACTGTATTGGGAAATGACCAACATGCTGTTTGCGGATGATTTCTGTACCAGTTATTACGGGGCGAAAAGCGGTCGAAGCCATCGAAACATGCGTGGCATACAAGGCACAGATGCCCCTCCAAGTTAAGGTATGATGAAATTCTGGTTTTGTCAATTCAAAGTAGGGAACTACGAATTGTCCAATCTCGGAGGCCAAGGACGCAAGCCAGTGGAATTGTCAGCAACAACCCAGACACTCTAAAGGAGGATCCGATACAAATTCTGTTTGAAGTTTCGTCACACAATTGCCTTCCGAAAACCGCCGTTCATGGCCATTTGCGCCAATCCGGAATGCTTCCAAAGCTCGGACAAATTGTACCACAGGAATTGACTGATGGGCACCTCTTGGGCGGTTGTGCCATCGTACTTTCACTGGTCACCCGAGGACACGGCCATCGATGGCTGAACGATGTCGTTACTGGAGATGAAAAGTGGGTGCTCCATGTCAACCATATCAGGGGTATCATCAGTTGATCACAGTAGTAGTCCCGAAGTACGAACTGCACAGCAAAAAAGGGATACTGTCGGTCTGGTGGAATCGCCGCGGCGTCATCTAGTGTGAACTGCAACCTGACGATTCCAAGGTTACTGCCGATGTCTACTGCCAATAACTGCAATAGGGTCCAAGAGCGGCTGGAATCCTTCTCCTGCATGACGGTACACTTCCTCATGTGTCGTAGATGACTTGTCTCAAGGTTCAGCAGCCGGTATGGAAGCTCTTATACATCCAGCGCATAGCCCGGACCTTGCTGCTTCTGACTACCACCTTTTCCGCACGCTTCAAAATGACATCTAAGACCAGAGGGTCAATGACCGTAACCATATCAAAACGTACCTTGCCCAATACTTCAACAGCTAGCTCAGCTCGTTCTAATAGAGAGGCATCGGCAGTTTGTCTGAGCCTCGTCAATAACACTGAAAGTTACGTTAGTTAACTATTGCTGCTTCTTTAAAATCAATAATAATTGCAAAAGTGTACACAACAGGGGCAACCGAACACATTAACTATTAAACTTTTTCTTTTCCCATCATTTATTTGAACTTCGTGTAAGTGGTGATCTTTCGTAATCTTTAACGTCATCAAACACTGATTTAGTGGTCATTATATAACGGTAGCTGGCAGATTTACCTGTTCCTGTAGCATCGAACACTTACAGAACATATTCACCTGCGCTGCATCACACAGCTCCACCTACACACCCAGCATTTATTACAAACCGGAGGAATCGGACAGTGAGTAGGACAATGTTGGCTCATGCCCTTTTAACGCGTTCATCACTGAGGCCAGATTTAGAATAGCATGCGTGCCGGATGTAACTATCGTGAGCATGCTCTTTGGGCTTGTAATTATTACGGAGCCTGCATGCCATCAGCCAATGTCCGGAAGGATAAGGTATCTGACGTGTAAGTCAAAGGTCGCTGGTTCGATTCCGCATGGGTGCGGGCGATTTTGCGGTATCATAGCCCACATGCGGCTGCTAGTGGTCTCGTGGCAGCGGGGCGTCAATACGGTGTACTGCTAACAACCTTTTTCCCGGCAACCGTTAGCATTCTTTGGAAGCCAGTAATCGACCGAGCATCCCTTATCTCCTTTCGCACCACTGAACCTGATCAGGGTCTCAGGTATTGGGCCCTAATCTGCGAACGGAGGTAAGCAACTGCGAGCTCTTTGATTAGGAGCAGACCTATTTGTGCTGTCTCCTGTGCTTTTCTAGTATTACTCAATTGTTGTTCCTGTCCAAATGTTTGACACATGTGTTCCATACAAAGCGTGATGCAATCCCCACATACTTGGGCAGATTCGCCATCATCTTTTCCTAGTTTTGGTTTGCCGTAATACCTGTTGCATGAACTGCTTATTAACTCTGTCTCCACTGAGCTATCCATGTTGCGAATATCATTCACTCTCCTTTCACCTTTGCCAATAAACTGAGCACTTTTGGTTCTAGTTTATGCCTAGTTTGTATTCTGGGGCTATTTCATTTGTGCAGTGATCTAAGGGCACTTTCTTTGCGCACACTCTATGACCTGTTTCACGTGTTGTTTTGCGTGGGCTGATGGTATATCATGTTTGCTTAGTTTTTCTTCGTATCCATCTTCTGTTCAGCCTTTGGCCTTTTGGGTCATTTTATTTAGAAAATATTGACCACTACTAGCAACCAACTGGTTTCAAGTAAGTTTGCTATTCGCTAGTTCATTAATTATGTTAAACGGATCATATTATGGTTGTTCGTCAGTCCCCGAACGAATACTCTAATCAGTCTTTTATTCACCATGTATTAGTTGTCATCGGAATGCTTAGCATTTCTACCCCTTATCCAAATCTCGGTGCTGTTCCGTAAATACACCGTCCTCGACTATCCCTTTAGTTGTCCTCATTTTAACATTTGTACGGCACTTTTACCTGCAAGCCAAGTTCGTTAAACCTTATTCTCTCTTGGCTGGTAAGCCACAACTGTGATTGTCTTCATCTCTACTACCTTTTGTTTATTTCTTACTTAAGGTTAAAGACGGACACATGGACAGGCTTAACGAGTACTTCATAAAGAAAATCTCTGCCATTATACCATGCGATCCGTCTCACCCGCTGGGTGACGATGCTGTTTTGGAAACTCTCATCGTTCTACGCGTCCTCGCTTCCTTGCGTGCCTTCGCCAACTACGTGTATGTTTCCACCTCGCTTTTCTCTTCCCGTCGCTCTTGAGGCATTGCCTTTGGTTTCATTCATCCAGGATTACACCTTTCATGCCGTGACCTTCACCCCGTAACCCACCTATCGGGACTCATTTTGGAGCGGCATCGATCATTACTCGGTGATCTTCCACAGTCTATATTTTCTAACGTCCTGATTATCTGCTTATGTACGCTACGTGCGCATTCTTGGAACGCCTTAAACCACTCTACTGCGTAATCGCGACACAATTTGTATCGCGCTTCACTTCAAACCGGGTCTCCATCCTTTCGGTTACCTGCACTTTGTATACGACTACTGTCGCCCTAAACTTTTCGCACCTCTAAGCTGATTAGACGCTTCTCAGCATAACCATAGTTCAAGATGTTCCGTCGTCTATTAAATCTCGCATAGACCGCATTCATTATAGTCCAATATTGCCAAATTCCTGTTTACATATTCCAGGCTAATAAGCTGGATGGAAGTAATTGACGGTGCGGCACTTGTACTTCAATACACTAAATTTTAACTTCGTTTTCGATGAAGTCGGAGTGCTTTTTCAGTTTTCGAAATTTTCTCCTCACTTTGTTGTTCAGCTAGACTCGAGCTGATGCACCTCTTGCATCATTTGTCCTATGGAACTTTTGTGAATATTCATAAAGACAATTGTTTAGCAGCCTAACCTATTTCATATTTATTGTTGTGGCCCAACAGAATAGTTTACTTCCATCTTTTGTCTGTTACGAGGTCTTCCAGTGCCACCCCTTTCAGCAGCCATCCAGTCTTACCACTCGCTTTAACATTGATTTATGTGGTGTTTTTCTCTATCTCAGCCCCTGATCATTCGCGACTTTTCATTGCTTTAAGTAGATTGCTTTGTTACACTTTCTGCAATATAAATGATATCTGCATATTGAGCCTCCTACTACGGAATCGTAACCAGACTACCGCTGCCTTTGTTCGGTGTATTCATCATACTCGGTCTCCATGTTTACTGTCGGGATTTAATGCGATGAAACTGGGCCTTTCTAACCCCGGGGGCAATGGTTTGTTTGCCTCACTGGTTCCTGGGGGTTATCAGCTCCTCTCCATCGTCGTAGACCACGATTGCCTCTGACAAAAGGTGAACACAACGCTAGTTTACCGATCCGCCTCCACCTTCCGGATAAAGTTCCGATCTGCTGCAACCGACTATGGTCATCTGTGTACCATCCAGGTCTATCGAATGATAAGCGTATCTTGGTTTTAAGATAAAGTGTGGAAATGGATTAATTTTGTTGGTTTATGAAATACTAGTGTGGCGTATATATATATATATATATATATATGCTGATGTTGCATTTTTAACGCTTGTTCACCGCAGTTGGGCTAAACCAACTTACACTTAAACTAGGTCTTTTTAAGCTGGCTAAATTTCATTCCACTTTATTTGGTTTGTTCTGCCTACCTGAATACTCTTCTATTAACTGGCCACGTTGCTTACATTAATTGCGCTTATCTTCGTTAACTCTGTTGCGTTTTGTAGCATTTCTAACTAACTTGTGGACATTTTTTCTTTATCGCGGATTTGTTGCTAACCAACTTACTTCATATGCTTATTAAGCTTAGAGTCATGCCACCGTATCTGTATGCATTATTGTATTTGTTTTATTTCATCTTGTCGTTCCAGGTGATTGGCTGTTGCTTGATATCCCCGGTGTGGCTGCGCTTGATGTGCATGTTGACAAGGTGCCTACCTGTCTATTACCCACTACTTCGTCCATACTGGCTCCAGGAGACAGTTGTTCGTTGCTGGAGGGGACGGGGTTCACGGTCCTTGTGGCCGTGCTAGGCTCGAAGAGTGGTTCCATGCACTCAGTGTGGAGCGGACTACGATCCAGCCACCGCCTTGTGTGCGCTTGATTTTCCAAATACAGCGTGCTTGTGTTTGCCTGTGAAGGAGTGTGGGCCGGCTCTGTTGATGAAACGTGGCTCCCATCCACGGGCCTCCCGGTCTTATGTCTTCGGGTTTACACTGGATATGGGGTGTGTGGTTGGAGCTGTGGGTGGCGCAGCGCAAGCCATCCATGGTCACTCTGTAGGCGCAGGCGTCCTGTGTCTGGCCACAGTGACAGGCAAATCCGAAACCGGATACCGCCAACCATATATATATATATATATATATATATATATATATATATATATATATATATATATATATATATATATATATATATATGGTTGGTGGCATCCGGTTTCGTATTTGCCGTGGTGAATTCACCGTACAATGCCATTGCCAAATGGCTGAACAACATGCGTGAGCCTATCAGCAAATCCATAGTAATGCATGCCTTATCAAACACATTCGAACTACTTCCTTACTTGTAGCGTGTTAATTTGTCTGGAAAACGAATGTACTCCCTTGATGTTCAATGCCTCTTCACTAACATCCCTTTGAACGAGACTGTTGACTGTCTCAAATCATGATGTTCGACTTCAGCTCCCTACAGAGTTGTTGAAGAACATGCTTCTTTTATGCATGCAAAATTTCAGGTTTTATTTTCTTGGGAAAGCATATCGGCAGATAGATGGTGTGGCCATGGTTAACCCATTATGCCCATTGTTGGCAGACGTATTCATGGATATGCTTGAAGAAAAAAGAGATAGCATAAGAAGATCGGCGACTCTGTATAAGCGTTATGTTGATGATATACTGCTAAGTATGGATTCAGTGGTGGACATTGAGCCTGCGACCAAGACACTCAAAAACTTGCATCCGAACTTTCCTGTGACCCGTAATAATGGGCAAGATAATTGTCCTCCTATACTGATTACACGGCGACCAGTTGGTTTCACCAGAAGGTGTGCAGGAAGCCAACCTGGACTGGTCAGTAGCTACATTTTACGAGTTTTTCCCCTATTTAACACGCACGCTCTGTCGTCCGGACACTTCTATGGGGCCCAAATGGTCTGCACCTGACACCATAGAAGCAGAAAGGGATTTATGAGTTCAGATAGGTTTGGAAACAATCGTTTGGTATAGCAGTTTGGTAACGTTTCGCCCTCGACACAAGGTCTTCGTCAGACCAGGCTTGCTGCATAGTACGTTTGAGCGACGGCGTCAGAAAGCCTTCTAGACATTGATTCAGCTATCCCGCCCCCTTGAACGGTAACGATAATTACATCGGTTTCTTTTTTACTGAATCCACTTTTGCTTTCGCTTCTCGTACCTCCATGTTTCTCCGGACGAACCTCTCCGGATAGCCATTTCTATCGAATAGGCTTCGTACAAAGTTTAGGTCGTCCGAAAGCATGCCCTCGCTTCCTATCCTTCTTGCTCGCTCATTTAGGCACCGAACAAGTTTCCGTTTCTGGCCGAACTGAACGAAGCTGGCCCATTCCACCTGATCGACTCGAGCCACCAGGTCAGAGCGCATGAGGCGTTCCAGCCCATCTACCGCGTACCCAGATGCCACACAAGAGCGGTTAGATGTTGTCTACTGGCAGCGGCCGAGGCAATGGCCATCAGGCTTCATGACCCTGACCTATGTGCGCACAAGCAATTTGTCCAGGCACTAACTCTACTATGGTCCCCTGTAGCACGGACACATAGTGTGGACAACGCCACACACAAACACACTGTTGATCGCCGTGGGGCCAATCACCTAGCTTGAGTTTTTAACCTGTACCCTTAGCTGATGTTTACGTTCATGTCATTCATTTGTGGTGTATCAGCCTGACGAGGAACCACTGAAAACGCGCTTGTTCGCTAACATTTGTTCTGATGTCTACTCCCGGGATGTTTTTTCAGTTGAAACCGTTCATTGAGCGTGTCAGTGAAGCAACCAAGCGAGATCGGGTGTCCACAGTTCCAAAGAAGCCGACCTTGATCGAGCTACCTTTCAAACGTGACCAGATTGTAAAGGTCCTCGAAAAACGGATCAAGTCTTCACTCAAAAGAGCGTGCAATGCGGTGGAACTGCGGCTGCTCACATCGACAAGATCTCTGCTTATGTGTTCGAGTAAGACACCGACGACGCGACACTGCACGTCCCACTGTCTATATAAATTCACCTGTAGCTGCGGAGATAGCTACCTTGGGTGCACTTCCCGAAGTTTAGGTGTCAGAGTCGGTGAACACCTCCCCAACTGGCTACTCAGCCTAATAGTGTCTTTAACGACGGAACCGGTTTGATTGGGAACCCGAGCTACCCCGGCAGTCACCAAACGCTTGCTTACCACCGGCCACCTAGTCAATCCTGATGAGTCCCTCACTATCCTACTGTGCGGTCGGCGGCCTCACATATTTAATCTATTGAAGGCCATCGTTATCGATCGCATGCGACCGCCGCTGTGCATTCCACAACAGCTGATTGTGACTAAGCTTAACCTGGTAGCGCAAATTCGGAATTATATATGATCTCTCTGACAGTGTTGATTGTTCATTTACATATCATTGCTGCATGTTTTTGTGATTGATAAGAATGCACGAAATGGCGACGTCATTTCAATCTACGTCATCTGATTTTCTTGTTTGGGGATGTATTCATACCTACGACGTACTGGAACTTGTTATTTGAATAAAGCCGTAAGAAAACGAACACTAGCAGATGTCCACATTTCGTATTTTCTCTTCAGTGCCAACACAATAACATGAAAATATATACGACGACAGGTAAGATGAGACCGGAACAAGTTAGGACAGGGTAGGTGGCAGGCGTGACACCCCTACGCCCAGGGTAGCCGTAGGCTTACCGACAACTGTTTCTGCACACAGAGTGCGGGTTTGATACGGCTGGTCGCGACTGTCTCTGTAAAACGTAGGAAACGGGCGTTAGCATGTCTTAACACGATTGTAAATATTTTGATAAACCTCTTCTGATGGACCCATCTGCTCTTCGGCAAATCAAAACGTCCAGATATGGGTGGCAGTTGCTTTTCTCTGTTTCGCTGGTTACTTTTAGGTTCGTATGCACGTTATTCAGACGATCGGCCAGACGCGCAGTGTGCTCAT